GATTATTAATTGAAAAACTATTTGAGATGTTAAAAAATTAAGTATCTAAGTAAATTACTTGATGTTTCCAAATCCATGGCAATGGGAAGTAGCCATGAGACTTGGTGGAGCATGACCCATGGTATCCAAACATGATCCAATTGCTACATTTCGCAACTAAAAAAAATAATTGCTTAATACAATATATGAAATTTGTTGAGAAAACTTATACAACTGTTTTGTGTTTTCAATCAAACTTACCTCTCCCCAGTGAATATTTGGTGGTAATTCTGGAAATTTATCTAGCACATCATATGCCACATTATCCATATACCACTGGAAGCTCTTACATTTCTTGCGTTCCTTAAAGGCTAATTGTTCGGATATATCACCGTGATCAAGCAATCGGGCTAGGGGTTCTCTAGTATAAAAAAATTCCTTGTGCTTCTCATCGAACCATGTCTCTATAACTCGTTTGTAATTCTGTAAAAGCAATTCACTTTGCAATTAGTTATCTCTCGCAGTCAAATACATATTTGTATAGACTATACTCACAATAGTTATCAATGGTCCTTTCTTCTTTTGAGCGAGTTTACCGAATGTGTAAGGCATAAACCCTCGGTAAACATGTCCAACATGCGAACACGGAACCCATAAAATACTTCCGCCGCATTGCCATATTTTAAAAGATAATTCGAAATTTTCTCCTCCCCAGACAAGTAACCCCTCGTCGTATCCACCCAGTGATAAAAAGTATTGTCGATTTATCGCAAATAAGCCACCCGCGTGCGTAGGCGATCTATAAGTTATACACAAATGAGATAATATTGAATGAAAAATATTGGACTAAATAACAAAACTACATGTAAAGATTAGAAATTGCACCTGTATGGCATACTATCATGTGCACGTGTTTTGGCTTCACGTCTGGGCAATTCATTCTCTTTATACAACATGCCCCACTCAAAGATTCCTCTATACAAGTGTCCTTCTTGGTATACAGGACGGTATTCAAAAGTTTTATGATCAATGCCATCTATCACAGGAACTGTCATTACATTTCTGAAAGATGTTTTTATAAGAAAACTCTCAAGTTCTACTCTTATTTATGATAAAAATGTTAAAGAATGTATCATAATGCTCTTATTTTACATTTCAATTTTCTCAAGTTAATTTAATAGAAAAATATAAAATTTTTTTTAATTTTCAGTACAAGTTGAATTATCTTACCTATTTTCAGCAATTGGCGCTAAAAGTGGAGGCAGCCAATTCACATTGACTTCGCAATGAGCATCTAGAAATACTATTACCTCTCCCTTGGCCTCACGCGCTCCTCGAGATCGTGTTCGTATTAAACCTTGTCTTTCATAATTTCTAAGTAATCTAACTTTTCCATCCCATTGTTCAATGTAGGAATCCAAGTCTCCTTTCAAATTTTCTGGAAAAAATTAAATTGTTTAGCAAATATCTCAAAAATAGAAATGGCAATTATTGCATTTCATTATAAGTACATACCTTTGTTGGAAAAATCATCAACAAGAAGAACCTCTTCAAGAAATTTTGATGGAGTACGATCTATAACACTCTGGATAGTTCGCAATAAAACAGACCAACCTTCATTGTGAAATACTATAATAACACTGGTGCGTGGTAATTCTTCTGGATAATTCCAATGCTTACATCTGCATAAGAAAAAAGAAGTATAAAAATATTAAAGAAATTAGAAATTAATATTATTAATTTCCTATGTAGCTATAAAGGATAACACTTACTCTGCAGGTCTGGTATCTGGTATTGATCTTGATAATGAAATTTCATCGGAACATACCATGTTCATACCATAATCGGATTCTGATTGTTGAACATCATTTAACTGATCATCTCTTAAAATATGTGGTTTACCACCTTCTCCAGGACCTGATCTAACTGATATATCACGTGATTCATAATTTCCTAAACCTTCTATAAGCACCGGTATCTATGTAATATTAAAAAATGTTACATTTAACATATAAATGTAAGAGAAGTTCCAAAAGATCGTCAGTATTAAATTTATAGATTTTTACAAGCCAGATTAATTAAATGTAAACAATTTACCTGTTTCCTGCCAAGACCCTGTGCCCAGTACTCTTTTATATTATTCATATGATTGTCTGAAGAAAAATTAAGAAGAATATACAAAACTAACAACACTAATGTGCTGCCGATCAATATGTGGAACAAGCGGTTTCTTCTAAGCTGTACAATCCTCATTTTCCCCAAATTGAATATCTATAAACTTAAGCTCATTTAATACTCTTTGTTGATTTTCAGAACTGTAACATACGATCTCTCAAAAATCCTGTCAACGACACATATTATTACATAAGTAATCATTACATAAGTAAATTATAATTAATAATTTTGCCACTAAGTACGTGATTTTTGTTACGCGGAACTAACTCGTCCTATTTTCGGCTAATAATTTCGATAAATAAATAAATGAAATGCGCGGTACCTTTCGTCAAAAGAAAGAAATTGGAATAATCCACAACCGGCTCGACAGCATGTATTCGTCAACGTGTCAAACGTCAATAATTATACATGTTCGCAATTCGCAGCCTACATATTCATTGTATCAAAACTGTAACAACTACATCTGCATAAAAGTAGTCAACGTGTCGCCAGTTGTCGCGTATTAGAAATATGGAAATAGAGACGCTGCATTTGAAGAGCACGGCATACTAATTGCATTTACGCCATGTTTGCGCCATACATAAATATACTCTATCAGAAAGAAAGGAGAGAGAAACAGAAAGGATTGTTGTCAACGTCTAGATGGCGTTAAAAATACTGTACAATTAAGGCCATTGCACGTGAAAAAATTTTAATCATAATCGTAAGATTATAAGCAAATTGACCAATTAGAATAAATTATTCTACTTACAGTCTAAAAATAATCGATTGTAGTTCGATTGGTCAATTCGCTTACGATCTTACGATTATCACTAAAATTTTTTCGTACAATGGCCCTGTGAGACATTATAATCAGAAACTGGTCACGAAAAGACAACTTTTGATTGGTCCGCCATCTTTTGGCTATTCCCACTTAGTTTCAAATACATTATCTACATTAATCTTAAATTGTAATATTATAATTTAAAAACATAAGCGTTTTAAAGATAATAAAATGTGTATATTTATAAAACTTTATTTTACATAATTATATTACCAATTTATTAATATATATCTTTTAATTTTAACGATTTTAAATTTATTTATTTATTTTTTTCTTTTAATAGTTATTTATCTTTAGTTATTTAATAGTTATTTATCTTTCTCAACACAAGAGCAAAAATTAATATAATACTATTATACTACTGTTACACTATAATATTTTTAACTTTTTGATATACAATTGTCAAAACGATCCTCTGTGAAATCAATACAATGACAGGTATTCACAAAGTTAGCGCAGCGAGAGAAATGCAAGTATCAGATGTCATGCCTTTTTTTAGAAAGGATTATTATACATATTTATTATAAACAAACTTTATTACAATATAAAATAAAATTTAAGTAAAAAAATGAACATCCATCCATTTTTTATATTGATTTATCACAATTAATTAATTTATGACTATATTTTGCAATTTTAGTATCTCTATTATTTAATAATATATTATCACACGTGTTTAATAATATATTATCCACGTGTTTAATACACATGCACAATACACTTAAATTAATGCACATGCAAGGTAAAAAATATCGCTATTGGTTAGAGTGAGATGGTGTATATTTTTTCTTTTTCGTAGAATTTAGCTAAAACATGACGGATCAGAGTCTCTGATTAGCGGATCAGAGTCGTGGCCAATCTGATTATAGTGTCTCTACTTTCGACTACAGAGGCATGTAGTGATATTTATCGCAAATAACGTGTTTTAGAATAACACGTCACAATATGATACACACATATATATACATATATCAGAATATACATATATACATGTATATTCTTTCAAATCCCCATGACCGGTATAGGACCGGTACTCCAAAGAGATGATGGTCCCATTCTCTTGATGAATGCAAGTTGTACAAAGATGGCTACTTCCATGGAGACTAAAATAACCTTGATTGATGCTAAAGAAAATAAAGCGTATAATATGAAATAATATAACATAATGAAATTATTATATTATATAATATTATAAAATTATTTATTATTATTAATTATTTTTATTTTTATTATTATTAATATTAATATTATTAATTTTTTTATTTATTATTTATTTTTTTATTATTATTATTATATATATATATATTATATTTAATATATATAATAAAATTATATTTTTTTTAATATTAGATATGTAGCCATTATTTCAGTTGGAACTTCAGAAAATATACTGCAACTGCATTCCGCTTTATAATCTTGAAGCAGTTAGAAAGTACACGAAATTAAAACGGAACGATAGCCGCAGTTCCATAACTTCCATAACGTCATGAGCACTCGGAGTGAATAAAAAGAACGCACCCTATATCGGAACGCTATTCGTAGAGTATATTTCGAATGGTGATGG